CTGACCAGCCCAAATTTTCATTTCTTAATCTAGGGAAGTTCCTGCATCTTTTGATGATTTTCCTTTCCCTTCTCTTCATCCCTCCATCTCTCTATTAATCCTTTTTCCACCTTTAAGATCTGTAAAAAAAAAAAACCAAAATCCCTCCTCGAAAGCCCCTTCCTCCCTTACATATCAATTTATGTAAATGGACACTTAGGTAGAGAGAAATATAGTTCTTCAGACACAACCAGACTACTAATCTTAATTTGATTCCCCCAGGACCCCTGCCACAATTATACACACCATCAAAGAGAGTGAATAAGCTGTAAAGTCAATTTAATATGCTGAGAGTATGTCTGGGCTTCAGAGAGAAAAATCCTATTCTATAGTATACCTAAGTACTTTATAAAAGCTAATTAGTCCAAGTAGGAAGGCTACTGAAAGTAAATGTCATCCGAGTCCTAAATGAAGATTAACTTAACTACTGAAATATGAAGACTGATAGCAGTAATGCTTACAGCTGTAAACTGTTACCAACATTCCTGTTCACGCTGAAGAAGATCTATGGGGACGTGACTCACTACATATATTATTGATGGGGCTGGGCTATGATGTGAGATAGTAGTGAAAATAACTTGCAAACTGAAATCAAATATAATATTCTGGCTTTCCACAAGAAAAGCTCAACTACCAATTTTCTTGAAACATTCTGACTGAATTAGGGTTTCAATTCTATGCCTTATTTTCAAGCGGAGTTAAATATTTAAACATTTTTCCTGGCACTCAGCTAAAATAAATGAATGTTCATAGTAGCAGTTCTATAACAATAATAATAAAGCCCTAGATAACTCACTACAGTTAAATCTAGCAGTGCAAATGACCTGACTGCAGACCAGTCATATAACGACTTCTAATGTCAGTTCATTAGAAGCGATCTAAATCACCAATGTGGATTATACTACAAGACAATTTAATTGGAAGCTCCACATTGATCACTTATAACAAAAGAAATCAAATGGTTAAAACTGCTGGCACTGGTACCAGTCCCTAACCATTTCTAGACTCGAGTATCAGTCCCTACAATCTCACTTCTTCCATTCTCAAACAACCCAGACGTGATGGAGAGACAACTTTGCTTTTATATTCAAGTTTGAAGAATTTATTTATAAAACACAAAATATATAGGCTTCTTTGACAGAGCAGAATTGTGGTTACTAGAAGTGGGAAAGGGGAAGTGGGAGGCAGGATAGTGAGATGCTGGTTAATAGACACAAAACAGCTATACAGGAAAAATAAATTCTACTGGTGTACAGTTGAGCTAAGCATCTACAACTAACAACAATTAACTGTATCTTGTCAAATGGCTAGAAGAAACATCAAGGTCAAGATGTTTGGATCCCCATACAGGACACTGCCAAAAAAAAAATGGCTAGGAGAGATCAAATGTCCTCATCACAAAGAAATGATTAAATTTCATAATGATGAATATACACTGATTACCCCGATTTGCTCATCACATTGTATACATGTATTGAAATATAACTCTGTACCCCACAAATATATATAATACATTTCAATAAAAATAAAAATAAGGTGCCAGCCCGGTGGCGCACTAGATAGTGCGCCACTTGGGAAGCGCGGCGGCGCTCCCACCCGAGGGTTCGGATCCCACATACAGACCGGTTCCCGCTCACTGGCTGAGCGAGGCGCGGGAGCAACACCGAGGGTTGCGATCCCGTTGCCGGTCCCGGTCCGGGGGCGACACTGAGGGTTGCGATCCATTGCCGGACACGGAAAAAGACAAAAATAAATAAATAAATAAAATAAAATAAAATAAAATATACAGGCTTCTAAACATAAAAACATCATTTTGTTATATCATTTACCTTTACTTTACAAAGGATTGGTATAAATCTATCATTCTTACTAGAGAAATAATTCAAAGTTCATTCTTTACTAAAAATGGGTCAATCAGTAAAGCCCACCTTGAACCTGAAAAAAAATATTTTGTAATAAAAATGAGTCATTAATGTCTTCCTTAGAAACCAAGAATAGAAAACCATTGTAGGATTACAAATAATTCTCAAGCTCTTTCTTCATAGGTTTCGAAATCAAATATTTTGGTTGTTCTTAGTGCCTAAATAAATAGCATTAAATAGCTTTCATCTCAGATTAACAGTCTCATGAGCCTTTCTAAGTAATACAGAGTATTTCACTGTCTAATCTAGAGATGTGAAATTCTAAAACTATGGAGTGATAATTTGGTATTTTATTCCTTAAAAGGATAGCATATACAAACAATCGGTTAGAATCACTACAAATTAAATGAAATTTCATTTGATAGATCTATGTTTTCAAAACATAAATGCTGTTTTCTATTTGGTTATTCATAAGGCTAATAATGTGGGTTGTTCCACTGTGCTGTTTACTCAATTGTCCAGGTTTACTCAGGAGGTCAGAACTTTGCCAATTAGGGCCCCCCCTTCCAGAGGCCATGTTTTGATTTTGGATCTGGAAACCAAGTCTCTGAAAGAGTCAGCTCAGTTTTGCTATGAGGGAAAACCATTACTCTATTAAAAGGAATCAAAATGTACCAAAAGATTTCGTATTTTACATTTAAAAGCCAGGAAGCATATAAACAAGAAAATAGGCAGTGAGGCTGGTATCTGAAACAATCCAGAGAAGAAAAATCAAGTGCAAGTTCAGAACTGGTGATCTGGAATCTCAACTTTGAATGGACAATGTGTTTTCCATGTTATTCAGCTTAATTCAGGGATTTCTTTATCCTTCATTCTTTTTTGAAAGAGGAGTTCTGGTTCAGAGTCTGGGAGTGTTTCTGAAATCATTAGTGTTTCTGCAGGCAATGGAAGAAGAATCCACCCTCTGAAACAAAATGATTTTAGGGAACCCTAGTTGCCCTTTTCTGACCGTTATATACATAGCCAAACCCTCCAACAGCCTTCATGTTTCCAACAAGAGCAATCCTCATTTTTTAATCCAGGAAATCACACCCTTCAGGGCAAGACTGAGTTATGCAAAAAAGTTATTGAATATAAACCCAAAGGAGAGCTGGATTTGGTATGGATACACAGCTAGATGCTTCACTTTAGCCACATAAGCATGACTATGGCAAACTGCTCATATTTGTTAAAGATCATATTATGTTCCAAAAGATCACGCCTGCAAGAACTACCAGAATGTCCAACAAAATCACTAGAATGTAAGACTTGCTCAAGGATATTCCCTGGGAATGGACAGCCAGACAATGAGCTAGACAATGAGCTGAACACATGCTCTCACTGGATTGACGTCCTGGTTTTTCCACTGTATTAATTATAAGCTCTGGGTAGAACTGGGGGATGTGGTAGGTTGATACTCCAATAGACCCTATCTAACCAGTTCTACTTTACTGTTCAGACCACCTCCCACAACTGGTAACCATGAATGTGGAAAGACATGTTTTCAGAAATGTGAGTGGATGCAGGGGGGCGGAAATATACCCTCTCTCCTAAATCCTCAAAGTACTATAGTCTTTGCTTTTATAAAGCTTAAATTTGAAAAAACTACTATAGATTTACTCATCCTCTGCCCTCGCCCCTCTTCAAAAATTACAGACCATGGTGACTGGTCAGACTCACTTTCTGGGTTCCACTCTTCCAGGTCTGTGG